GACAGGAAAAACGTTTGTAAAAGCTTCAAACTCAGTAATAATGCAACAGCAAAGCAGTGCCATTTGAAAACAAAAATTTGAAGAATGATCTGAACTGAAATGACTGAGACAACTGGAGTATTCAGACATGAGACCCTCCTAAGACTTTAAATCAATGCCGTGTTGCATTTGTATTGAAGATTCTTCCTCATGTTGAAAAAAAAAAAAAATTAACGTTTTTCTACATCGACAGCTAAGTGACAAACGCTGTCCCGAGGGCGATAGGAAAAGTGTTTGGGACATTGTCAACTTGATTTTGATGCTTCTAGAGAAAGCTCCATCACTGTGTCAGATTATGCACGATTGTGAACAAGAAATCTTTGTTGAAATCTGCAGGATATATAGTTAAAAATATTGAAAAGTAGGATGAGAAATTAAATTGTATTCCTATCTATACAGTACATGGACATTATATATATTATTATATATATTTTTTTGATGACTAACAAAAGGCTTTTCTTTATTAGCTATTCTTTCTGTCCTCCCACTTTTATTACATTTTGTTAGCGATTGTCTGTTTCATTCATTGTCTGTATTAATATTCAATTGAAGTAGTTGAATACAACAAAAGAAAAAACATTAGAAGCCGGTCAAGCATACTGTACAATATCTATTCAGTAAAAACGTATATATTTGGCAAATGTAGGTTACTACGTTATCATGTTGACATTGTAAAACGTAGCAAAGATCACCTGGCTGGGAGGGGTAGATGCAGGCGGTGCTGACCACCTTGGGAGGGGCGGAGCCAAGAGGGATCTGAATGGAGCTCTGCTGAGTGGGCGGGGCCTGTTGCGTGGGCGGCTGCTGATACTGCTGCGGGATTGGCTGCTGGTATTGTTGTTGTTGCATTGGATGTTGGTATTGCTGTTGTTGCATTGGCTGCTGGTATTGTTGTTGTTGCATTGGCTGCTGGTATTGCTGTTGCGGCATTGGCTGCTGGTACTGCTGTGGAGGCGGGCCTTGTGGAGCCTGGTGCATGGCAGGAGGCTGACTGTATTGGCTGGAGAAGGATAGGGGAAAAAAGTTGATTCATCACAGGGTTCAGTAAACCTGCCAAACTCATTAAGCTGTTGTTCTGAAAACATGCACTTCTAGCCTTCCTGTGCACACCAGAATGTTCTCATGGTTCATAAGAAGACACAAAACAACCACAAAGAGACACAACATGATTATACCATAATAATCCATGCATGATACCTGCAGATACCTAAACAATTTGTTTTAATCACCTGCAGAAATACTTGCAGACTCTGAGCACAGATTAAAGTTCAAAAATACCTATCTGTGTTTTCTACATGTGTCAACCACTGATTTGTTGATTTGAAGGTTAAAAGTATTCTTCGTAATAAAAATTATTTATTTATGAAATATTAAAATGCTGTTATATGTAATCTAGTTGTAAACAACCCTCATTTTACCTGCAAATCACCAAATCAGCGTTAACTGGGTTTTGTATATCTTAGCTTTGTATACACGCAAATGACAGGAAACTTAAAAGCGGGAGTTTTAATAAAAACAGCCGAGGAAGACCAGCATGTAGGGAATGAGTCAGTATCTTGACATTAAAATAAAGATGTAATTGTGATTCAGCATGTTATTCAGCTGATGAACGGATGAAGCCGTTATTCAAGATGTCCTGAAGTTGGGGTTAGGGGTTCAATCCCTTCAATGTCACCCATTTTAAAATAAAGGCCTCAGTATGCTTCAAAAAAAGCGCTTGTTGGTAGAAACACCTTTTTAATTAAGGACTCAGGATGGACACTTTTTGTAAATTTTTCACAGTCTTCTTTCACGACTTTGGGATAATATATTTTGCAGCGAATCAAAGAGCTTTACTTAAGAGTTTATTTTGATTTTGATTATCTATGTAATTACACATCTGAGAGGATATATTCGACATGCAGAGTTCCTCAAGGCTCCATCCTGGGGCCTCTACTATTTTAAAATCAACATGCTTCCATTGGCTCAAATAATGGAAAACAGCTAAATAAGTTACATTACCTATGCAGACTCGATATAATTGTACATTTCATCAAGGAACTACGGTAAAATATAAGCACTCAGTAAGTGCATTGAACAAATCAATAATTGATAGGGAAAAAAGGTACATTTTTTGGAGCCAAGATGGCACAAATAAAACTAACTCTTAAAACCTGTCAGATTTATGTTGTGGAATTAAAGGGAAACATTAAGCTCATAGATAAAGTTGCATAAAAGACATCAAACAAACAAGTTCTCTTAAAGCATACTGAGGCCTTGAATCCATAAGGCACTGTGAGGAGTTTTTAGATAAAGAAGCCTGTTTTAATTGCAGATGATGTGTTAAGTAGCATAGAATAAGAGGCAGCGTGATAAAAAGAAGCCGTCAGCATGGTGATCTCTGCAGGTTTTTGTACCTGGAGCCTCCGACCCTGCGCTGGACGCTGTAACCAGCGGCAGACTGTCGCTTCAGGCTGCAGGTGTAGAGACAACAACATCACCATCTGCATCCTAGACGCTTTTTGGGGTTGTGTTTCTTAGCGACTTTTAAGCACATTGGGCATGTTATTCCAACTCAAAGGGCTTAAAATATACTTTTTTCCCTCAGTGCAACTGTCCTGAAGTCTTCTTTCGATTGATAGTACCATCTTTTACGCTATCCGGATCTGCTTGACATTGCAAGAGGCTTTAAGTCAATCATTTGATGCGAAAAAAATATTCATATATACTTACAAAGTCTTAGCATCATTCAGACATTGTGAAATAAATTATACCAACTAATACCGACCTCCTGCATACATGTATTTTCTCGTTTTGACTTCACTTAACAGCTTTGACACTTGACAGCAACAACAAATGCTGAGTGATAACCAGCCCAAAATAAAGTGCGCAATTAAAACAGCATTGTGTAAAACACATGTAAGAAAAAACCTTTGATGTTCTTTGAATATAAAGAAAATTATGAGAATAAAACTTGAATATCCTCAGACATTATAAAGTCGTACATTTGCACAAGAAATAAACATTCTCAGAGATGAACGTCACAATTTAATGAGAAACAAAACTCTTTTCTTTTAAGAAACAATTGAGTTCTATGTCTCACAGGAAAAAACACACACACACACACACACACACACACACACACACACACACACACACACACACACACACACACACACACACACACACACACACACACACACACACACACACACACACACACACACACACACACACACACACACTATACTACTACTACTATATAATGTATAC